TAGAAGTTTAGTTGAAGACTACTATAAGGAGATGCAGTCATTACTCAATAAGGCTAACATAATCGAAAAAGAAGAGGTCATTGTGTCAAGATTATTTGTCGGCTTAAACTCAAACTTCATTGATCTTCTTGATCTATATGGGTACGAAAACCTTGAAGATACACTAAAGAAAGCAATGACAATCAAAGAACAAATCCAAAGGAGATCCCGATTCATAGAACATTACCAAGGTACTTCATCCACTTACCAAGGTAATCCTTCAAATCCTTCCTCATCTTCTACTCCATCTTCTATGAAAAAGCTAAAAGATGACAAACTTGACAAGGAGAAAGAACGACCAACAAAGAATGACACACTTTCAGCCTCTAAAGATCAAATGATAATTTGTGAGGAAGTGGAAAAAAAGAAAAAGCAAAGAAAGAGGCAAAAGCAAAAGAGGTCACTAATTACAAAAGCCAAAAGAATAATGACCCATGGGAGGTGAGTGAACCTAAATGTGAGAAAAAAAGAGTGACTCAAAATATATTTGTGAGCACAAAAGAATTGAGAGAGAACCTTCTTTACAAACAACCTTACATCATTGTTCGCTTTAGGGAATCAATTGTTTCGATTTCTAACATTAACAAGGATTTGCCTAGTGTGTTTTCATCTTTGTTACAGGATTTTCGAGAAGTTTTAGGTGATCCACCTAATGGATTACCACTAGAAAGAGGAAAACAACACCAAACCAATCTAATTCAAGGTTTCATCATACCTCGTCAAACATACAATCTCGAAGAAACCAAAGAGTTAGATTTGTTACAAAAAGGCTACATCCAAGAAAGCCTTAGTCGTGACGCCATATTAATGACGAAACATGACTTGAACAACTCCACATGCTTTATAGTTCGTGTACAGGGAATCCATGTAAATGATGAGAAAGTAAAAGCAACACGAGACTGGACCACACCATCTTCCATTGCCAAGAGTTGTCGAATAGTGCTAGGTGACCATCCTGACGGGTTACCACTCGAAATCCCTAATCACTATGACATCAATGAAGAGTCATGATTTACGAGACTCCAAAGACCAAGGTAAACAAAGCATAATAGACGATGCACTACCATGAAGGTATACTCTTAAGCATACTACTATTCCAAGAATTGAACATATCAAAGATGTATATCACAATAACTCTGATATTTCTGATATTTCTACCTATACTTTTAAAAGTGCTTTTAATGAGCTTTATCTTGTATATGAGTTTCCTTGCCAACTAAACAGGTTCTACAGTCCAGAAATATCCTTCTAAGAATTCTTAATTCATGAACCACACTTAGAAGACTTAAGAGATTACTTTAACATGATTTTTAAACACTCATTCTCGCCAAACACGAATAACACCATGGAGAAATTATCTAAAGCAATCATGCAGAAAGCCAATAGTGGTCAGTGCCATGTTGAATTTCAACCTAAACATCAGATTATAAGACTTGTATGCAAAAGAGGATTTCAAGACTATAAGAAATCAGTTCCTACAAAGAAAAAACCTTGACTAACACGCATAATGACACATCACATTGATCCTGGTAAATGTTTTACAAGTTTTACTTTCAACACATCTAATTCTCTTTCTCTTGGATTTTTAGATTTGAGGACGTATCTTTTTGATGAGTGGGGGAATGATACATGCACCAGAGTCAATAATACATGTTTCTTTGGACTAATGTTTCTACTCGAACCTATTAGAAGAACAAAGTCTCGAAGATTCAAAGTATATCTATTCGGTAAGCATAATATGAATGAATCATTAAACTATTCTAATGTTGCTCCCTTTAATGTTTCAGATTCGAGGTCGAATATTTTTGAAGAAAAGAAGGATGATACATGCATCACAAGGCTCACATCAAAGGAAGAAGTAATAACTCTTCCAAATGATCCACTCGTCCAAGCTTTGGAAAAGAAGATTAGAACAATAGCAAACTTGCGAGGACTTTCTGAATGGGATCCTGATCTTATTTGGTCAACATGTCTTCTGGAGATACAACTGTCTGTCTCTTATCTTTCTAAGGTTCTTGAATTGCATCAATCTAATATCGGGAAATCAAGATATATTCATTTTAGTGAAGACTGCACATGCATAAATTCCTATACGAGATTAATACGTGATTTTGTAAATATTACGAATTTTCAATATTTATATTGATTATTTGCAATATAATTTAATATAGGATGATGCATTATCTTTTAAGATTAGATTTATTATTTTATTAGGAATTAAGGTTGAGTTAAAATATTGTTTTTAGTTATTATTATTTTATTAGGAATTAGAGTTAAGACATGTTTAGTTTATTATTATTTTATTCATTAGTTATTTAGGACCTTAACTCAACCCCTATATAAAGGAGGCTTCATTCAACTTTTTAAATCAGATTTCTTTGATTAATAATACAACTAGAGTTCGTTTTTACAAGTGTTGATTGTCTTGTGCCTTCGAAGCTTCTTCTCATGGAGTTCTTTCAAGTTCTTGTGAGGGAGATTAATCTTCACACTCCAATTTGCCTTTTCATCGCGACTAGGAGGGTTGATTAGAGCCATGTTATCGAGTTTGCCTTTTCGTTGCGACTAGGAGGGTTCGATAGGACACTTATCCATCTATTTTCCACAAATCCATCATCACCATCATCATCTTTACCGTTCACCTTCATAAGGGAGTCACCTTATACTAGTCATCCCCCTTTGTTCTTCATCAAGTCTAGAGCTTTCTACGTTTGATTCTTCAACAAGAGCAACGTTCATTAACCTGCCACCGCTTCCCTATTATATCTTAATGTAGCACGTGGTGAACTACATGAAAGTATGAGATTGAAAAGAAACTCGAGAAGAAAGAAAGAGGATTAGTTATGCAAGAGTGGAAGGGAAGAGAGAAAATACTCACTTCGAAATAAAAAGTTCTTTTAAAGCTTCAAATCCAGTAAATGCATATCGATTTCCTACTTTTGATGTTACTAATCCTGTAACAGTGAAGTAAATTTGAACAATTGCAGATCAGCAAAAAGGAGTAATATCCAAAGACAATTAAATACACACATGTAATAATATTTGTGTAGATCAACACATTTTGGCATTAGTACATTACTCAAAAGAAACTCATGAAAATGTTTCTGAATGAACAACATTCAACATGTAAAACTAAACCCACGCCACAAATCAAATTCAATGAAATCATAGATCTAGCAAAACATACTCACTAGAAAATTTAGTTTAACAGTAATAGTTTTGCAAGCAAACGCAACCAAGAGTTCTTCAAATAAGCATAAATTCAATAGTGACCAATGGGTCAAACACGCCGCAATCATAATGAAATGCATTACAACGATAAGCTCAACAGTTAAAACTTTCCCAACTCCTCAAACTTGAAACTTAACATCAGAAAAAAAAAAGGGCCATACCCAAAAGCCCATCAAGCGACTTCAAATTAGCAACAGGATTATCCACAACCACAAATAAAAAAGCAGAAACTTTATCAGCAGTCGTCCCTGACCTCTGACTAACCAACACCATCTTCATATACATCCCTTTGGATAACTCATAATCTTTCCCATATTGCTACATCAATTTTTCCCCAAGCTCTCTCTTCTTCTCCACCAATCTCTTCAACTCTTCCATGTTTCTCACATCCACATATATTTCTCTTTTCCCTCATCCCCAAACACTTTCTTCTTTAACTCCGATTCATCCTCGTACCACACACTCAAAGAACTCACTTTCACCAAAGGCAGAGCTGGCAAATTCTTAAACTTATCAGGCTCTTTAGAAAACCTATTACTTTGATTATTGTATTCAATGGACAAAACTGGAGGCTTGGGCTTTGCTCTTTGTTTATTTTTTGTGTTTTTATCAGTTTTGGGAGTTTGGGTATTGTTAGGTCTCTTTTCAAGTTGTGAACTCTGGTTTTTGGTGTTGGTGTTTTTGGAGGCTTCAGGGAATCGACTTTACGAAAATCGACATCGTTAAAGCCCGAATAAGGGAGAGAAGAATCTGAAGCCAAGCCGAGAGAGGAAGCAAATGATGTTATGTCGGATTTCAGGAGTTCAACGTCTTGTGGGGTTTTCGACTTCGACATTTTTTCTTTTGCATTAGACATCAAAGAGAGAAAAGAGAACGGAGATGAATAGGTTTAGTTGTTTAGGGTTTAACATCAATGATGGGCAAGAATTTGGGTCTAATAATAGATTTAGTCCCTATATTTTATTGAATGTGACAACAGAGATAAGTTGTATAAAACTATCAATTTCGTCTCGAATTTGAAATCAAAAACTGAAGTTCGGCTTGATACAAAAGCTCGCGAGCTTAATTTTTTAAGCTTGAATCGAAGTCAAAATTAAAAATTGAAGTTTGATTCGAGCTCGAATAAATTTAAACTCGAAACACTAGCAAATTATACTTAATTGAAGCTTAAACTCGAACATGAATCTTAAATACATGAATATTGCATTAAAAACAATGAATAAATATTACTATATTAATAATTTAATTTAAAATCTAAAAAGATAATATATTTTTTTTCCATGAGTTTTTTGACTCAGTTGTAGTTTATTTAATTTTGTTAAATTTTGAATCAAATCTATTTAGTTCCAGTATTTATCAAACTTTGACCAAATAAAATTTAAATAAATCATATTTTATCTTGTTTAATTTAACTCTAATCTTAGTGTTATAAATGTAGCCAATTAAGTTTTAGAGAATTGTCACATGTTAAGCTTCTATATTATTCCGAATTAATCGATTACATAACTGAATACGGGTTGTTAAAAAATATATATTAATTCACAAATTATTTAATATAATTTGATAACTCGTACATTGCAGGGATAAGAGTTTTGATATATATATATATATATATATATAGGGCTTTAGTAATTTAAAGGAAATACTAAAAAGACAAGAGCCCATAAGCATCATTTCCTTTAACTAGGGCTTTGGCAACCCTAGTTTATAAGGAACTGAAAATTTGCTTAATCTGTCTCTAGCCCCTGCCTCTGCCTTTTCCATTCACAAATTCTTCTCTCCGGCAATCCGAGAAAACAACATGGCGACAGCCCCGACATCCGCAAGGCAGCTTTCTCCTAAAGAAGCCGACATCCAGATGATGTTGGCCGCCGAAGTACATCTCGGTACCAAGAACTGTGATTTCCAAATGGAGCGTTACGTTTTCAAGCGTCGCAATGACGGTAAGTTTTCATTTTTTCATTTTTAAAAAAAAAAATCTATACCCATTTCTATGCTGGGTTTCTGCTGCTGAAACTTAAGTTTTCAGTGTTTCTTTTCATGAATTTTGTATATTAAGATTTGGATTGTTTTTCAGTAGTATGAGTGTTGGGATTCTTTGATTTATTAGATTATCGAAGAATATGTTTTTTTTTAAGACATGAGATCTATTAAACGCGTTGCTTTTACTATATTTATATTAGTTTGTTAAACACCTTAATAGGCCATATATATATATATATATATATATATATATATATATACTAGATGAAATTATTTATGGTAATGGAAATTTTGATTTGGTTGGTGTGTATTATACAATTTGTTGCCTACAGAAATGGGTTTTTCTAGTTATGTTGGGTTTTTTGAGCTTGTACGTGCTGTTATTGATATGTTTGCTTGCAAATGTATCAGTTGAATTTACAGTCATAGAATGGTATTATGTATTAGTATTTGTCTATTTGCTTGTCATTTACATGTAAATGTGCATTAATATCTGTTTTTATTGATGGAATTATCTTGTATGTCTTTGATAGGAATTTACATTATCAACCTTGGCAAGACTTGGGAGAAGCTTCAGCTTGCTGCTCGAGTAATCGTCGCTATTGAGAACCCTCAGGACATCATTGTCCAATCTGCAAGGCCCTATGGTCAGACAGCTGTGCTGAAATTTGCACAGTACACTGGTTGTCATGCAATTGCCGGAAGGCACACCCCTGGTACATTCACTAACCAGATGCAGACATCTTTCAGCGAGCCTCGTCTTCTTATCCTCACAGACCCCAGGACTGATCACCAGGTAAATTGTATGCTATGGTCGAATTGAGTTGGAGTTTTATTGTGTCCTAATAAACAGTGAATTGAATGGTTTTGGATTAGTTAACAACTGAGTGTGTTCTCTGCAGCCCATCAAGGAAGGAGCTCTCGGAAACATTCCGACCATTGCCTTTTGTGATACCGACTCGCCGATGCGATATGTTGACATTGGTATCCCCTCTAACAACAAGGGAAAGCACAGCATCGGTTGCCTTTTCTGGCTGTTGGCAAGGATGGTTCTTCAGATGCGTGGTACAATTGCTCCCGGACAGAAGTGGGATGTGATGGTAAAAGTATTTTCACTTTCACAATATCTCCTATACAATTTGAACGTGTTGTAATTTGTTTGTTCTTTTGCATGGTTTGTATGCAGGTGGATCTGTTCTTCTACAGGGAGCCTGAGGAAGTTAAAGAGCCAGAAGAGGAGAAGGCTGTTGTGGCCCCTGATTACGGACTCCCTGCTGCAGATTATGGAATGGGTGCCTTAGCATCTGATCAGTGGCCTTCACAAATAGGCGATCAATGGTCTGCTGATATGGTTCAGGCACCTATTTCTGGTGTCCCTGCTGCTGTTAACTGGGGTGACCAAGGTAGTATCTTCTCTCTGTTTATATTATTTAATTTACATCTTACTTATTGTTTCCTTTGCTTAATCTACTTTGAAATTTCAAATGCAGTTGCAGTTGGTGCCGATGGGTGGGATGCAGCAGCTGCTCCAGCACAAATCCCAGATGTTCCTGTCGATGTCACGGCCCCTGCTCCCACAGGTTGGGAATGAGGGGGATTCGTTTTTATATTTTGGCAAAAATGTTTTGTTTTAAAATGAGCCATTTTGGACTTTGTGTGTACTGGCAATAGTGTTGTAGACATCGATGGCTTTAGAAATTTTTGTTATTCTGTTGTTGGAATCATAAGTTTTGAATTTGTATTGTGGTATATGCATTAATGGCTTCTTGTTATCAGGTGTTAAAATTGTATGTTTTGCATTATCACCCAACCTAAATACCAACAATGATAAAAGAAAGTTACAAATTCTACCATGCATCTCCTTGTGTTACTACCCTCTGATATGGCTAAATAATCAACAATGATCGGATCAAGTGGTATTGTCCAAAGCTGGATTCCAAGCAAGAAATGTTATGTTCATTAACTTTTCTAATTTTTAATGTCATTGTACATTCAATACATTACGAGTATAAACATGATTTTCGAGGATTAATAGGAAATTTACATTTGTGTCGAGTACGTGTTTGTTAAAACTTGGATCTAATTACAAATATGTATGCATATCAAAGTATTGATGACTTTCAAGTTCATTATTTGGATAAACTGAATTCGGTTGTGGTGGAGGTTATCATTCGTGATATCACCGCTATCCCTCCTAAAATGGATGCGGATGTAGATTATCCGACCTGGCTCTGGGATCCGGCCGGTCTGTGCACTGTTAGTACTGCCTATCAGGCTATCCATCGAAATGACTGGGACCCGAAGAATACTGTATGGAACCTGGCTTGGCATTTTGATGGACCCCAGCGAATCAGGAACTTCATTTGGCTTACCTTGAAAAATCTTCTCTCGAGTAATGTTGGGAGAACGAGACAGAGCATATCTTTGGATCCTTCTTGCCCGATATGTGGTGCTCATGAAGAGAATATCCTTCAGGCTCTCAGGGATTGTCCCGATGCTCAGAATACTTGGATGCAAGTTTTGCCGAGCCAAAGAACAGGGAGTTTCTTCACTCAATCTCTATTTGCTTGGGCCTGGGCTATTTCCGTCGCTACAAGAATAAAGTTCCAGACTCCGCTGTCTGGGTAGCAACGAAGGAGGCAAGTTTGGAAACCTCCGCCCCATGGCGTGATCAAGCTTAATACTGATGGTGCAGTCAATCCTCGAAACCTTGGGTGCTGCTAGTGGTGGCGTCATCCGAGACCATGAACTCATGAAGGTAATTGGATTGCGGGTTTTAAACGACATATCGGTAATTGCTCGATTCTTCACTCTAAGCTTTGGGGTCTTTTAGACGGGCTTCATGTGGCATGGAGGAACTGGCACATTCCAGTGGAAATGGATAATGCGAAGGACATCTGCCTGGTTATTGGTCCGAATCAAAATAATGAACCGACTATTCTTCGTAGGATACGGGATGTGATGCAACAAAACTGGAAGGTCGAATTAACTCTCATCCCCCGGGAAGCGAATAACATGGCTGATGCTATTGCTCGTCATGGTTACACGATGCAGTTAGGTCTTTCGGAATGGCAAAGGTCACCGGACTTCATCGCTGCTGCAGCAAGAGAAGCAGGTAACAAAAAAAAAAATGAATTTTTTTTAAAACCTATTTGGATGTCATTTGATAAAAATATCGTTTGATATATTTATGTGATTTTTAACTCTTAATCTTTATATTTAAACCCTAAACTTATAACCTTAATAGGATACATATATCAATTTTAAAATCTGGATCTGGTTTGTGAAGAAAAAAATTAACTGTTAGTATATAAAAATAATTTATGATCAATTTTATTAATTATTTCATTTAATGAAGAGTTTTATACTTTAATTTTAGTCATTAAATCTTTTTAATTTAATTTTATTATTAGTTAATATAATATACGTAAATTGTAAATTTAATTACTATTCCCGATATGATTAATATTAACAAAGAATAAGCACATAGATAGTGAAGTTGTTTTGAAGTCCCTCTCTCTTCCTTGATTCAAAGAAAAAAGGCTTACCAAGTAATTTTCCGCCCAAAATTTTCAATTTAACATTACTTGAAATGAACCAAAAATATAGTATTCCAATATTCAAGCTAACAACAATGTACCATACAAGAGACCCGTAACATGAAATGATAAATTTGTGAACGCACGTTTATATATTTCCCAAAAAGATATTATAATGAAGCACGAGGAAATACGGTCAACAATAATGTTAAGGGATTCTCAATCATACGGCAGAAATCTATTTGTGAAATATTTACAAGCTTTAGAACTCAAAATCTCTATGGCGTTTCTGCAGATTGAGCCAGTCGGAGCTCCAAAATGAATTAGCTATGGTATCAATTTACACCACCTAAACCTGGAGACCCCTGATGAACTCAGCGTTATTAAAGCAAAATAGGTCGTATCATCGGATATAACACGAGCTGAAAAATTGCTTTTCCTTCGGCAGAAGCCAGACCTTCTACGCTTTAAGCCGATTTATTTGTATTATTTTGAATTGATATCTATCCTTCGGATGGATTCAATTTGTTTCTTGTTGTGGTTGAAATGAATTCTATCACGAATCTATAACGAACTAGTTCGACTTGACGTTTATCGGAAGAAGCAAATCTCCATTAGTTACCCAATCTACGAAGCTCTCAGAATATTCACCGATGATACCACCACGAGTCACTTCGGATGCAGTTTGGTCCACTCCCTAAACAAATAAAGCAGCTTAAACATTAGCATCTCTAAGCTTAGTTAACATTAATATATTCTCTGCATATAAAACCTGGGTGGACGTGGGCTCGAAAGGGGAACAGAAACAGAGTACTGACCTTTATGTTAGAACCAGATTCACTTGGAGATATAGCCGTGTCAAGTCTTAGTTCATCACCAACAATTTCAGTAATTTCAGAGGATAGACCAGTGGTAGACCTGCAGAAACATGCCAAGATGGGTTAGCTAAGAATGCAAAAAAAAAGCAGAAATAATTGGTGGTGGCAAAACGATTAACTGATTTCAGAGAGATATTTGAAGTACGGTTACGGAAGGCGACATCTAACTACCTTCCATACACATCACCATCAAATGAATTTCCCGATGATGAAAGCCAGTCCATATCAAAATTGGTGCAATTACATTTATCCACGCTTTCATAACATATGCGATTACTTTGAAGAACCTGGTCCTGCGTTTCTCCGAAAAGTTGCTTGCAAGACAATCTTGTAAACCTAGAAAACCAAAAAAAAAATGGTATGCGAGACATCTGATGACTTAAAACATCTGAGGTGATTTGTTCACAAATTTGGCATGTGTTACAACCAAAGAATAAAATGTTTACGGTGTTGATTAGAGACAAAGATTTGCTATAAAGATCTAAAGAAAACAACTACACACACAACAGAAATTTGAAACAATCCTGGGAATGAAGTTCATGCACACCTGGAACAAGTAAGGTCACGAGTTGGCATCTCTCGAGTGGATTCCGAAAGATCATGGGTAGCTTTGCCTCTATTTTCAGACAGAGGCTGATGATGTTTGACAGTTGATGCACCCATGGGACAAAGGATGTTGCCATCAGACAGAGATCTTTTAAAAGATGTCCTGTAGATATTAGGAAGGGACCTCATCAGTGGTTTATTACAAGAAAGGTTAGATTTACCATTTTAACATAGGAAAAAATATTGCTCGACACCTGCATATTATATCTAGAAACAGAATTATTTGGTAACATGTAGTCTCAAAAACTATCATTGGAACTAGAAATTGGTATAAAATCTATTAGCGAATTTGGACTCTCGATATACCTAGCATCTGCATTAAGAAGATTAGAACCACGACTTCCAACGCTATGTTGGTCTGAATCCAACTCCCAGAGTGCTGGTTTACTTTGTTGCGGCTGAAAATGACCCAAGAACCTGCATAGGATGATGCCAAAATCTACTAGTGTTATTATCCACCACCATCCTCTTGTAAATCTATCGTAACTTGTTTTAAACTTACAAATTAATGGCACTTTGCTTTTCTGCATCCATGTATGCATTGCTATAATAACGTTGCAAAGATCTAAAGAACTCCTGCGACTGAGTTGCTGCTGGCCATTGACCTCTCCTTTGGCAAAATATCTGTTTGACATGACCAATGCAGATTAATGAAATGTACCCGGAGCATAATACAGGTTTCACTGAAAGCCACCCCATGTTACTACCACAAGGTTTCAGGGTTTAATATGCCATCTAAAGAACCTAAAAATAAGTTGAGGGCCATGGATAGAGCATTTATTAAATTTGATAAAAGTTTTTTATTTATTTATTCATCAATTTCTTTGGGGATGATTACAAAAACTCCCTAAATCTCCCAGAAGGATTACCTTGTTGTGTGCTGCAGAGCCACCATATTGTAGAGCAAGTGTGTCACCCATTTTTTCATAAACTACCATTAAATCCTCCGCCAAAGCACTATTTTGATCAATAATTTGGGATTCTGTGAACCCCATAGCATGGAGCTGGCGTCCAAGAGCCATTAAACCATAAGAATATTGCGCAACATTAGTGCGATCTAGGCAGTCGATGCAGTTGGTTCTAAGTACTCCATTCTGGAACATGAGGCGCTTTACATTTTCAATGGAATTCTGTTTATCATCACTTTTGTCGGAATGGATCTGAACAAGGTGCTCATCATTTTGCCTGAAAAACAATTGAAACCAAAGTAGTATACATAATTAAACGCGAATGACTAGAAAAAGCATTAGCAAAACAAAAACAAAAAATGGTTCTATTTTCAAGGAAAAAGCAAATGCAATAGAGAACAGATAGCACTATAAGAATCATAAGCAAAATGATTCATTCCGGCAATAATTGAGATAATTCATGACAGGGCAGTGCAAACATATATTCTTTGATCAAATAGCTAGTGGCAATTAGCAAAAGAGATTAGGAATTTTACATGTTTACATTTGAACAATAGACTGGACTTATTAACAAAGACAAACAACCCAGCATCATAAAAAATATGATCAAATCATATATAATACTTACACCAAGTATGATAAATTCAACAACCCCTCAGGTATGCGATTTGGTGTTACTTGACAGTAAAAGATGCCTGTTAAGTTTAATGCATAATCAGCCACTTTGCCTAGAAGTTCCAACACATTTGTAGATCTGCAAAAAGATGAAAAGCTCTATTCAATTAACCATCTTTTAAAAGATCAGTAAGAAATTTACGCTATCAAGTCAAGTAGGGATGAATAAGTACTTTCTGGAGTGTCTATTTAGGTCCCAGTGAAGAAACCGTAAACGCTTCTCCTTGGATAAAATTTTATTGAGAAATCTGATGGACTTTGCAAACTCCGTACGAAGAATAGCTTCCCGAGGTTTCTTCTCAGATCTCTGTTAATCACCAGAATAGAAAGCAGAAAAAAATCAGGAAACATCGAAGATGGAAGAAATCACAAAGATTATGGAAACTGACTGTCAGCCATGGCCTACCTTTATCAAATTCAATATGATTATTGGATTTCCATATCTCCTTGCAAGATTTTCAAAATGTAGTTTTGTGGCCTCATAATTTGGATCCTTTTTTGATACTGGAAACAAGAGGTGAAATTAAGAAAATATACTGTAATTACCAAGTAAAAGCACAGATTTATGGCTCTCATTTTGTTATTAAGAAAGAATACATACATATAATGTCAGGTTTCAAATTCAAGCGTGAAGTTTCCTGGGACCAGAAAAGGGGGATAGAGCCTCTATTCTGGACAATAGAACTTATTTGTGTGGGGCATCCTTCAGGAACATCTTCAAACACAATTTGTTCCGTCTCGACATCATTTGCTACTCTACCTTTCTCATTCACGCCACGTTTTAGATATCTATGCAATAGAGCAGAAATAAGAAAGTGAGTCATGTCTGAATGAAGATCGGCAACAAAAGTTGGTGAAAGAAAAGTTTGCCTATCAATAGCTAATTTCCTAATAAATTGTGAACCAAAATAAATGGTAAAGGGAGGTTCTAATTAATGCGGCAGACATTTCGATCAATAGCTTGTAAAGCATCTAAACCTTGTTCCAGCATAATGTCGAGAACGCCTTGCAATGAGCATTAACTTGATGTCCCTGCCAGAGACAGATAGTTTGACCTGGATAGCACAGTGAGAAATTCAAATGTCAAATCAAAATTTTACAGCCATGCCTCAAAAGGAAACATCAATATTTGCAAATATGTTCAGCATAAGATGAAAGTATGAACCTTCATTATTTAACAGCTTTAGTTACTTCATTTTAACATTTCAACTACAGCTTTGTAAAGGGGTTAGTTTTGCATAATTCTAAAGACTATCGACAAAATAGTTCCTTTAAATAAAATAGAATTGAAGAAATTACAAATCTGACAGGCATCCTAATATTGACGATCATAAATCTAAATTCCTTTAAGGAACAAGTTCTTAGCATGAACCAAATACAGAAACTGAATGAAAATAAAATTAACTACAACTTAACAATCTTCTTGCAGATCCTTCCATATTCACCTACCATGCAAAATCAATGAATATGAAAGAGTGTATCATACCTGCTTGAAAAAGCCATATACCAGTGCGACAGTCCACAGAGTATTCTTGAGATTATTCCGGATTCCTCGAGTTAAGAACTCATTCCAGACAAACGTTGTTTCATAATGTACTAATCCTGTCTCATTCTTACATAAATTTCTTTGGAGGCTATGCATTACATTGTATGAGTAGCTGAAAAAGAAGTCCTTTCTAAGATCCACTGTGCACAGGAGCTTCTTGTATCTATTTCAACAAGGACAAAGAAGAAGGAAAGGATTTCCACGTTAATAAATGTTAGTTACTAGATGAACTGAAAACAATAAAAAGACTGAAATATAAGTTATAACCAGGAAACTAAAGAGAAAGATAGTAATCTCCCCCCAGAAACCCTGATGATACCTTCTCTCATTCAACACGTAATATTAACATCACACAGCAAGATGTTAACCCCTGTACATATGCAAGAAATGAACTGGCAGTAGCCTCCACAAATAGTACTAAAAGAAGATGCTACGATAAACTGGTCAAAGCTGACTTTATTGGCTCAACGGGATATAAAGGGGGGGGATATATTTAATCAAGAAAGTGGTTAATTCCAACCGCATCAGCCAACATCAATGATATAACATGAAGTACAACAAAAGCAGTACAGAAATTACCTCCAGACCATGGAACTACTCTTCTACTTTAAAAAAAGAACTCCAGAACTCCAGAACTCAAACTATTGTCCCAAAGAACATAATTAATTGGGAAGAAGATAAAACAACCACAACTCGACACAATTCTATTTAAATACAAGTGGACAATGAATACTGTAAGTGTTAATTTCATATGTTTTCGTATAAATACCAAGGATAGATTACATTTACAAGTAGAATTGACAAAAGACCTTTTTTCATTCTTAGAATAAGCCATATTTGACTGGACAGAAGAACTGGGAATTGTTATCATCTCGCTCTTGGTAATGGAATATATATTATGGCCACAAATTGCACCAATCTTCCTTCTTTTCGTGATCAGCAACATGTAATAAGGTCCCAAAAATTTCACAAACCCTAAATTAATGAGAGAGATTCATTAGATAATGCTAAAATGGATGACAGTGGAAGGGTGGAGAATCTGAGTGACTGAGTAATAATATTACATACCAATAATTCCATAGCAAGCTGTAACAAATTTAAGTCCACCTGTGGACCTGTTTCCGTCATGTATCCGTCTTAACAGATCAGAACATTCAATTTCTGAATATGTAGTGGGGTCTTCAATAATATTAAGTTCAGAAGGCTCTAATCGATCAACCTTTAATACCCTCCAAATGGTTCCGTTCTTGTCTCTTCCAATCATATATAAATTCTGTCACACAAGGAATATACAAATGTTGCATTAATATTGTGTAATGGAGATGGAAGTGGCGTAATTATAATGCAAAAAAATTTGGGAAAGAATAAAACAAAAGGAGCAACAATATTTTATCAGAACCACAGAGAAAAACAGAAAAAAATATTTTTATAGATGTAGAACTTGCATTGAGCAAAGTGACTATTTGAATACCGAACAAGGAAGGTTTGTGTAGCTCCCAAGCTTACTAACAATCACTTACCATGACCTCAAGAGCAATGAATAGCATTATGAGATAAAAGAAGACTCTAACACTTCATAGGAGATCATTGCAGCTAAAGAGAATTGTACACAAAAGAAAATCCAAACAAGAATATACAGAGAACTACAAACGTATTAATATTATTACATGAAGACTTTACCCTGCTAAGCTGAATTTAGAAAACTAGAATGTTCGAATATTGTATTGTAGATGTATAAAACTTCGAATATTTAAATAACTGAACCACTGCTTATAATAACAAGCAAAAATAAATTGACGATGGAAATTAAACTGCATAATCAGACTTCCTATTGAGAATTACATAAGCTAAAAAATCCAAGTCAACACACACAAATACGATATCAGAGATAAGTATATCAAGATTTAGGAAATTACAGAGCAGCTATCAGCTAAATCTAAAAATCACCATAATTTCATAAATACTCAAATTATATACATGTATATATAAAGAATTGGTTAGTAAATCGCCAAAAAGATTAAACAGCCGGAGGAAACCAAAAAAAGCCAAAAAGATCAGAAGAGCATTAGCGTGTTAAAGTCAAAAAGCTTAAACGAAGTCCAACTGCCGTATACACAAGCTTATGAAAACATGAAACAAAACGAATACATATACGAGCGGGAGAGAAAGAAAATATACCGAGCGAGTCTCGTAAAGTCTAAATTTCAGCAAATAACAAGGATTCGGATTGATTCCACCATGACTGCGATTCTCGGCTGCCATTAGCTTTTTCGGATTCCGAGTTCCCCGAGCCTCAAAGCTCGGATTCATTCAAGATACAGATCACCGAAGAACAACGAAAAAGAAGAATAAAACAAAAGAACTCACTCAATTTACAAAATTCAATCTATATTATGTAATGATAAAAACACAGAAAAAAATTTAAAAAAAACGTCACGACTTCACGACACAGAGTTCAGCCTGAAGAAAAACAGGAAAAACAATAAAATGGAAAAAATGGTATTAATCTGGGAGAAAACGGCGCGACTTGCTGGAAAGGAGGGAGAGATCGAGAAGAAGATGCAGAGAAGAGAAACGTGCAGCTAATGGAGAGATGGAAACCACGAAAATCAAACTAAAAATAAAACTAATATATGCGAAACTATAAATAAATGTTTTTTTTTCTAAAATAAATTACACGAGATAGTGGCGTGTTTTAAATTTTAATTAATTAGTGTTTTTTCCACGATAACTTGGGTTTCCGTTATGAGTTTGTTTTTCAACCGATTATTGGTTTGACGAGTTATTTATGACTCGGACATATATTGTCGTTCTAACTCGATTGAACCGGTAGCTGAGACGGAATCAAGTGTGTCCCTGCTTATATTTTAGGGTAAATTACAGAAGTGGTCCCTTTTGTTTGAGTTCTATAAAGTTTTCCTCACTAAATTAAAAAAATATAATATTTGGCCACTTTCGTTTCGTTTTATTAAGACATGATCACTGAAAGTTAATGAACGTTAAACCTTTAATGGTTTGTTGATGTATCATGATAAATATATAAAATTAAAATTACATCATTTTCACATAGATAATACATTGATTAAGTTTTGATTATTTTCCTTTCATATTTGTACACTTCTGCTCATCGAATTCAAAAAAACAAAAGTTTTGGTCACTTACGTTATCGTTTTATTAAATTTTGGTCACTTACGTTATCATTTTATCGAGACGTTTCTCTGCCCAGCGACGGAGAGTGCAAATAGTACACCTCAAAGAGTGTAACTAGTCTCGAAAAAAGTAAGTGTTTATCCTCCTTGAATCAGATGAAACACTGAGTTGTAGAGTCGCCACCAATCTTTTAATTTGGTGAGATTGGTCACCAAAATGTCATATTATTCTAATAAAATTCCTAAGAATAATATTAAAATAATACAACTCGGGTCTGCTTACCATAAAAATGAGTTCGGGAGTCGATTATGTATGGGGAAGGATTAGCACCCCCATAAAGCCCAAAATTGGTACCGGTATTTATTAATTAATGTATTTGCAATAAATTATAAATTTGTTCTTTAAATTTAAATTTACAAATAACTTAAGATAGATAAATACTAAATATTTAATATAAATATTATTAATCCTATTATAATATTTAATATTAAAACCATATCAAATTAATTTAATAAATTATGTATGATAATAATCCTAATAGTAAAAATATCAATAGTAATTAACCATATAATAATTATAATTAATGATTAATACATAAAATAACAATATTAACTATTATAATTTGAAATAGTACTGAAATAATGTACTAATTATGTAATTTACCCTAAATTACTAATACATAATCAAAATATAAACTTCTAAATATTTAAGGACTAAACATGTAATTCAACCTAAATATATATAAATATAATAGTGACTAAAATATAAATATATATAATACGAAAACCAAATTAAAATGTGCAAAACCTGATTTCAGTGACTAAAATGGACGGGTTACAATATTGGAAGGACCACGTGTGTAATTTACCTATTGTTAAATTACGCAGACAGTCTCTCTCCCAAGACGACGTCGTTTGGGAAAGGTTTATATAGCCCAAAACTGGTCTTTTAAGGACCATCTATCTCATTTCTCTCTTTTCCTCTCTCTCTTTAAAGAAAGAAATAACTCTTTCTCTCTGCCCTCTCTCTAAAACCCTCCATCAGTGACCGACAGTCATTCGGCACCATAGTCCGCCACCGCCGGCCACCACCCACAGTGGCCGAAAAATACCAAAACACACCAAATCGAAGCCCAAGATAGTCTAAACACAAATTCGGTCTCCTTTTTGCCTAGATCCTTACCAAAATTAGTAGATCTACATTAATACCTTCAGCTTTTAGACTTCTCGATGACGTTGAAGCTCCTCGGATGATGGTAAGCGTTCTTTTTGACTTATCTACTGTTGTGGTTCATTGTTTATTGCTTGTTGTGTCTCTTAGCCTCTCGATGTGTCTCCCCTTTTTCTTCTTTCCTCGCTTTTGTTGTTTCTTGTAATGTGGGTACTTGATGTGTTTCTTGGTCTCTCGTTGTTGTTTTTTTTCTTTGTAGGATCGGGGTTTATATAGCCCCTAGAAATCGACCAAAATGATTATCTCTACGGGTGAGTCACCAGACCTACAGTGGTGACTCACCCTAGGGTGATGTGTTGTGCGGCTCTTGTGTGGCCTTTGAAATCTTCAGGAGAGATATGGATAGGCAGTGATATAGTGGCAGTGAGTGGTTAGAGCAGCTGGATGGTTATAGATCATCGACGACGCTGGAGTTGATAACCCTAAGGTTGTAATAAAACCCTAGGGTTTCTGCTGGATCATTTTTGACCCTTGGATCTCCTTTGATCGGATGAGTGGGAGTTGGTAGCAGCTGGAGAAGCTGATGAAAACTCTAGCAGCATGTTTGGGTCTTCTCGGGTGTGCTGGATCTAGGCCTGAACTGATTGATGGGTCTGGATCAAATTTGTTGGGTTTGAGTCTAGATTGGGCTCGGGTTTGATTATAACCGGTCTATAATTAAACTTGTAACTTGGGCCTGTGAGCCTTGCTTTGTAACCGGTCCTCATCACTTGTAATATTAATGTTACTCGGAGGAAAACTACTGTCGATAGCTGCCCCTCTTTACTTATTTTTGTGTTAACAAGAATAAAGCAAAGATAAAAAGACAAGAAGTTTTCGTCGAGCATGCTTGGTTGAGAAATTCATTCCACTATTCTTTCATGGAAATCGAACTTTGATCTCGTTCTTGCTTCACTACTTTTTTTGAAGGATGAAGATGACTCACAAATAACTTGCTTCACTACTCTTCTGTGAAGGCTGAATTTGCATGACTTGAACAGAATCTGTTTCACTACTCTTCCGTGAAGATCAGACTCAAAATTGGATTGCTTCACTACTCTTCCGTGAAGGTTTTATACTTTTCTGAAAAATTTGTTCCACTATTCTTTCGTGGAAAGCGAATTTTGATCTTGCTTCTGCTTCTTTCTACTTTACTACTCTTCCGTGAAGGCTGAAGATGACTTGATATGAATCTAATTTTAATACTCTTCCGTGAAGATCATATTCGAAATTGATTTGATTCGACTACTCTTCCATAGAGAGCTTACAAATGTCCCTAAGGACTCATCATCTTGCTCGAAAGACTGACAAATGACCCAAAGGATTTACAAATGCCCTGAAGGTTTTACAAATTATCCGAAGGTTTTACAAATGACTCGAAGGTTTTACAAATTACCCGAAGGTTTTACAAATGACCCGGAGGCTTTACAAATTTGTGGGAAATAATTTACTGGGTAAGAAACTTCTTACTTTTCAAAAATTTCATTTTTGGAAAAGATTGAATGAGAAACGTTGAAAATCGCTTTCTCATTTTTCGAAACAACTTGTTGGTTGGGCATGCCCCAAAATTAATGTTTCCTATGTGGATTGCACTCATCTATTCTTCAGATGTTTGCCTCTCCAAACATGACTCCTGTATTTGTGATTTGGATTCTACCTTATACTCATAAGGTATTTTGTTCATGTATCTTTTTTTGAAAAATGTATTTTTGCAAATGCAATCAAATGTATCAATGAAATGCATGATCTTTATGCAAATAATGTTTTTATGGATACATGAATTGATTCAATCATTTGACCCCAAAATTTGATCTTTTTCCACTCGATCATTCCTTTGCATTTCTGAATAACCATCTGGTTAACTTGTATCTTTGTGTCTTCTTTTATCTTAAGAAGAACTGCATTATTTATGGAACTCTTGCCATATTTGGAATTATGACCTTGTTGCCCCACTTTGTTCTTGATAACACCAGTTGTCTTTATCTGAACTTATATAGAAAACCAATAAAGCTTTTGTCTTTGAAAAGAGAATCTATCATCTTTACAAAATGTAGATATAAATATGCCAAACTCAGTAGAGATTTAATCAAGATATCAGCCACGTTTGTTTTGACTTGACTCTTGAAACACATTACAAGAAGGATTTATATTAATTCCTTTCATGTCTCAACATCTAATCAAATCTCGAACAAAACTATTCAAATCATAATATATCGTTCAATCTTAGTTGGCTCCACTAGTTTCTTGTTGTTAAAATTCTAACACGCTTTCGTGGAAAGAAATCTTCATCATTTCTCATTTCTAACCTTGGAATTGAGGAAAAACTTTATCTTATGTCAACCACATGATAGTAATATTGATTCAGCACCATAATCATTGGTTCGTAAAATATTTGACAACACATTCATCATTTCTTGTAGCTTCCACCTAAATTTCTCAACCAGGGAACTCTTTGTATGATGTTCAGAGCTTTTATATAATATCATAAGTGGGATTCTTTAATTTGTTATTATAGTCTATGTGTTTGGTGGAAATCAGAAAATTTCATCACTAAATTTTAATTCACCAACAATTGACTTTAGACTAGATTTGTCAAAGTTTCATCGTTGAATATCATCAATAGAAAAGTAATCTAGTCAGCTTTGCAATGTCACACAAAGATGCCACACATTGTACACTTTTATATGTAAATATCAAGCCTTTTGTCTAATTCCTTGCATTGGAAAAGGCTCTCTCATATTTGTAAAAGGGTATTATTTGGGTATATTTCATCTGAGGTAAGGTCAGGGTCCCTTTTTTTTACTAGTGTTCAATCTTGATACTTTTTTCAAAGATGTATAACTCTAATTGTAAAGAGTTTTTAACTCATTTGATATTCAAAGAACTGCAAGATTGCAAGATTGATTCAATGCTCATAACCTTAAAAACAACACATTTTTATTACAAAAGACGGAGAAAGGAACAAAAACATGTTCAAACAAGATGCTACAAAATGAAAGGTACAATAGTGGTAGTAACAACTTCCACTGTCTCATTATTCCTTAGTTGTTGGGTGTATAGCCAGATCAGAATCTTTGTCCA